CCCTCCCGTTCATCGCTCCTAGCGGCAAAGGCCCCGGGGAGACAAGAGATCCATCGCCCCTCCCCCTGGATCCGCCAATGGAATTTCTGATTCGTGGATTTGTTCAGACGGGGTGCTGATAATCGCTCATGGCAAAACTTAAAACGCTTTTAACTTGTTTTCTCGCAATCACTAGAATCCACGGTCATCAGCAGCTATCCGACAACGCGCTGTTAGTTAAATTGGATGTCCAACTACCCCCAAATCGAGTGCCTCTTGTACTGAATGAAGCCTGGAGAAAACTATGACACTTTACTTACGTTTTGCCAGCAATAGTATTGAGAAAAGCATAGGCTTACCTGTTTCTTTTGGCCAATTCGATGTGCACGACTCATTGCCTGCAGGTCATTCTGTGGATTCCAATCCGAATCAAATATAATCACCGTATCAGCTGTTGCCAGATTGATCCCTAGGCCACCCGCACGTGTTGATAAGAGGAAACAAAAATCCGATGAATTCGGTGCATTAAAATGGTCCAGTGCAGCTTTACGAAGATCGGAACGCATTGATCCGTCTAATCTCTGAAAGCGAATTGTCAAAATTATCAAAACATCTTTATTCCTGGAGTTCCGGGATCAAGAAAACAAAATTTTTGCGTTTCCATTCATGGGAACGTGAAGCTGGAAACGCAGAACGTCGATATTCAAAATTTTTTTCGAAAAATATTAAGCAACAAAAGCTTTTCTAGCACAAAAGGCCTGCACATAACTACTGGTATGCTGGGGGGATGAGAAAAACTGAGCTCATATACTGTACCTGGCAGGCAAAACGTCGGAGTTGAAGATATTCCTGAATAATATCGAGCATCATTACCATCTGTGAAAAGATCAGCACACGATGCCCCGTCTCTTGCAGCCGACAGAGTAATTTATCCAGAAGAATCAACTTCCCGGATGATTTCAGCAATTGCTGAAATAGGAAGCAGTTTTGTGAGGCAAAAGATACTTTCGAGGAAGTAACTTATCTCACAGACTGACGAAAGCATAGCAATTGTTATATCGAAATCAGTTCCCGCAAAAACTTTTGTAAAATGGAAGGCATTTAGTAGCATAGGCAGATTCAGGAGGAGGGACTATAGATCTTTCACGCCCCAACCCTCTCCCCCTCCGTCGGCGCTACAGGCCTAAAAGTCCGCGTTTAAAGCTAGAACTGAAGAAAACTCTTTTCCGCATCAGTTCTCGCAAAAGC